GGGTTGAGTCGAGGGCGGGCTGTATAGCTCAAGGCATGATAATTTGAGGCACAAATCCAACCAGCCGCCGCTGGTCAGAGCTCGATCCGCGGATGCGGGACTGTTGTGAGTGATACATCACCAGCAAAAGCACAAGCGAGTGAGGCAGCGTGCCTAGGGATCCCTGGTTGGGTGAGGACAGGCGGCTGGTTTGATTTGATCGCAGCAAATGCAAGCCAAGGGGGTCTGCCACAGTGGCGGCGCAAGCACATGATGGACTCCACCTTTGCATTAGAGAAGATTTCATCAGGTGCAACCCAGGGAGCGATGGGCGCCCTTTCCTGGACGTTTGGTGTGTATCATTGCCAGGGGGGATGTGGAAGTCTTGTCACATGCATCTTGGAGCGCTTCATGCTGCTGCCACCACCTTGCTTGCTGAGGAACTGTGTCAGGCATGTTATGCGTGCGCGCTCAGAAAAGAGCCGCCCTCCTGCTTCAACGCCCTGGCAGGCGCTGTGATGACTCTCACCGCGCCTGGAGCATTCCACATAGGACCACTCGCACCAGCAAGTGCTCTTAGCAGGTTCAAGCATGCATCTGCGAACTTCCAACCTAGAGGGGCGGCCAATTATCCCCACCTCATACACGGGGGGGTCCCCGGGGTAGAGGCGGCGACCGGTGCGGAGGCGGCGCGGGTACGGGTACTCGCTGCTGCCGCCCACCACCGGCCTGCAGGTGCGAGATGATATGGTGGCGACCAAGCCCAGCCGGGTGGGTGCATCATTCGCGGTCGGTCTTGCATCTGGCAAGCAAGACCGACCCACTCCACATCTGAGCAGGCCCTGGCCGCCTTGAGCGCCTCTGCCATACTCACGCTGCCGCTGCTGGAATACACACGGGCTGGCGTGGCACGCTTCCCACACCAGGTACCAGGCAAGAAGCTTTGTTGATACCCACAGGCTATCTTGTACTTGCGCTGTAGCAGCTTTGCTCCTGCAACGTTTCAAGCAGCCCGCTCACCGCACGTCCTTGTCGGTGCCCAGGTCGTTGTAGACGTCGAAGTCGTAGATGCGCTCGTTCCCCTTGCGCGTCTTGTTGTCCGTCACCTGCGTGCGTGCGATGAGTGTGTGGCGTCACCCAAGCCGCCACCGGGCGGAGCAGCTTGCAATCGATGTAGGATGACCAAGAGAGGGCTTGCGCTACTGCGGGATCAGCGCAGCGCTGGTCGCTTGGCTCACTCTACAAGCATGGCATCGAGTGCCCGCAGGCGACAGCCGCCAGCAACCACGCGAAAATGAGTGCACCCTGTGATGGCAGTGTGTATACATACGCGTGCGCCGAAAGCATTGTGTCAAGCTTAAGGACCGACGCACCCTTAAATCGATCAGCTCCCGCTGCCGCAGGTCACTCATCAGTCCGCCTGGCGTGTCTTTCGGCAGCGCTGTGTCAGCAAAGAACGTCCTCTGCCCATCAACATAGGAGCTGCGGGCGGCGGGCGCAGGGCAGGGGCGGGCCCAGGGTGGGTCACGTTGCAAAGAGGTCATCACCGTTAGTGCTGGGGTCCTTGGTTGTGGCAGAGGCGAAGATGCCGTGCCACAGCTCAGCCGATGGCATGTGGCCACTGTGATGTGGGTGTGCCTCCCATCCACGCGCCCTTAGCAGGCCGTCCAGGGCGTGCGATTTGCGCTGTAATCACCATAGACACCATTTGATTGGCGGTCACGACAGCTTTGGATGAGGTGCAAGGGCATAGGGGTTGATAATGCTTCAACCTCACTTGGCCAGGAAGCGAATGTCGGGGCGCCCCTCTGTCTTCAGGGTGATCTGCAGCAAGAAGTGTGACGGACAGTCCATTGTCACCGTGTCATTCACTCATCATTGCCAGATTGTATGTGCGAGCAGCGAGCAACGAGCAATGAGCGGCAGCCGGAGGGCGCAGCGCCGCGTGGGTGCAACTGCCCTCGCCACGCCTGCCACGCGCTTGACACCCTGCTGGCTGATCGAGGCCGACAGCGAGACAACGTGCTCATGCTGCTGGGCACTTGCATTGACATCAGGGCGGCTCGATGCAGCTCACGCAGCACCATAGGGCGCATGGCGGCGGTGCCTTGCAAGCACAACTGCTCAAGCAAGTTCCTGAATTGAACAAACACCCTGCACCAGCCAATCACCATGGCTGCCCTAAATGCTCTCGCCGGCAGCGCCAGCAGTCCCAGCCTGCGTCGCGCGGCTCATCCTTCCCCTTGGCAGTTGCAAATATACCCCTCCCTGTTGTCAACTACCACGCGCACCTGCCCTATGAATATGTTGAACAGCGTCTTCAACGGCGCCAGAAACGGGGGCAAGTATGGCCCCTGGACGTCAACCTTGATCGCGCTGGGGTCAAGGCCTTTGGGCAGTTGAAGCTGGGCCCTCCTGATCTGCACGGCAGGCGCGTGCAAATAGGATTGCCAAGCAGGGTGGCGGATGTGGGTGTGGGTGAGGGCGGGGTGGCGACGCGGTGGGCTGTGGGCTGGGGCGGCAAACAGGTGTGGTCTCAGGTGGTTGCATGATGAAGGCGCGGGCAAACAGCATATGTGAGCGTGGCTGCTCCACAATTGCGACAAAACCTCAGTGCCCGGCGTCAAAAATAAACCGGGGCAACACTGTGACACGCTGCTGCTCGTGTCAGCAGTGCGGCGTCTGCACGTGTTACTTGCTCATTGGGCTCATCCGAACAAGGGCATGAAGCGTGGACTGACCTTGTTGGGAGCGCCGGGCAGGGCGTCCTTGACCTCTGTGTCTTCCAGATCCTCAAGGAGATCTCCAAGCAGAGATCCATTTGTAAGATAGTGTTCCTGACCTGCAGATTGCGAACCATTCAAGGGCAGCAAGGAGGCGGGGATGGATGTGAAATCCTGGGGTCGAGTGGTTTTTGCTGCATCATGTGTACCTAGGAGGCAGCATGCTTGGGGCGCGCCGTGCAAATAGCTCCGCGTGCCGCGGGCTTGATTGTGGCAAATGCGTGCACCAGCGTTATGCACAGAGACACGTCCTTGCCAAGGCATCCAGGACGAACATGGGCAATGGGCGGGTTGAGCGTAAAGGTATGTGTCACGCATGATGGCGGATCTGTACAGGGCGGCAGCTGTGCCGCCCTTGCCGTGCGGCACGGCTGGCCGGGGGTGGCACCGGTGACGTGAAACGAGCGACAGGATCCGTTCGCACCTGTGATCCTGTCCACAACGGACACAACCTTGACGGCTGAGTCAGCAAGCTGACCTCCCAGCTTGTAGTACGGCAGGTTCGCTGTCCACACGACCATGTCCCTTGTCTGCGCCGCTGTGGCTGCTGGCGACTTGGCCGCAGGCGCCCAGCGGCGGCGCGGGGCTAGGCGGACTGCAGGGCAGGCGCGCAAAGCGCCCCCGTTTACTCGCATGGCTGCCGGGTAGCCCAAACTGCGCGACATCGCCATCTTTGCGGTGATCGGTTGATGGTGCAACACCGCGATTGTGCCCGTTTTGGAGTGATGCGCTAGGTACTGCCGGTGAAAGGGTCAGGAGCGTTCCGGCAAAAGTAACTCCGTGAATCAAGCTGACAGCTTACACTGAAGCATTTTGCATAGATATATCAAGCTCGTGGTGAGTACGGATTCTAGGCCGCGCCAACGGCTGAGTGGGTATGAGCTCCAGCTGGCTAACCGCGGACCGTCCGGGTGACCCAATGCAAAGGAAAAGGGTGGCACCCAAACCCCACCTAGGAGTGCCCACGTCAGTGCACACCTGAAATTAAGGAACGAAGTCGAAGCAGCCGCGCAGCTCAGCGCTCCAGCCGTGTGCCTGGAATCTCCCCCCTCCCGGGGGCCGAATACGGTAATATGGCGAGTGTGCAAAGTCTGCAGCCGTTGGCGCGGGCGTTCAGCGATCGATTTGTGCTGGTACACGGCGGCCCGGGCCAGGCAGGAGACTGATGACATAAGAGAGTGACCCAACAAGCAAGATGAGTAAAGGCACCCGCGAAAGGGCAGGAAACCACCATCAAGCCTGGATGGCTCCAGGAGCGGGCGACCGCGGGATCTTGTAACAATCCTAATCCTAATCAACTGCACCGGCTGCATAATGCACCCCCATCAAAGGCTGGAGCACTTGATTGCGCGGCTGCTTCGACTTCTTCCTGTGCTTTCACAGGTGTGTACCGACGCAGGGACTCCTAGAAGGGTCTGTGGGTGCCCCCTCGGTTGTTCGCAGTCGGCCTGCATGCATCACCACCAGCCGTTGGCGTGGCCTAGCACTCATTCATCTCAACTATGCAAATCACTTTCAGCAAAGATTTCAAGAAGAACGTGCGATTATGCTTCGAGTCACCGGGCACTAGTCGGCAAGTGACTGGAGGCATCCTAATCTCAAGATGCTGACCGTGTACGCTGACACGTGATTGGATGAGTTGGTGAGGCTCAGTCTTCACAGGTGATCAGCAAACCATTTACCAAATTGCATGCTTACAAACATTCGGCTTCGCACTGATTAGGGGTTTAGGGTTTCTCCCTAAACCCCTAAACTCCCACGCCAGAGGCATGACGCCAGACTGTAATCAAGCTGGCATTTGATCCTGCTGGACACACACACACGCGCACGCGCGCGCGCGCACGTGCATGCGTGTGCATATACACACGCAAACTCACACACATGCACGCACGTGCGCACGCACGCACGCACGCCCCCACGCCCCCACGCACACACGCGCACACGCGTGCGCACACACACACACACACACACACACACACACACACACACACACACACACACACACACTGCGATGCTGTCCGATGATGTACAAGAAACAGATACGCGATTGAGTATTGCACAAATTTCACATTTCTGCACCTGCTGTGCACAGCCCGCATGTCTGCGGACTCAGCTGCATTCCCCGACTCACCCTCTCAACATCCAAGGATAAACAGGGGGCAGACACGGCCATTCAGAGCCGTGAGCGACATTAAAGGTTACAAAAAGCAGATGCTTGATTGCGATGAGAAACAAATTGTATGTCCTGATGTGATCATGGTAGCGATCGTCCCAAACGCATAGCGTGGCGCTTTATCCAAAGGCAGCACCCCTGCGGCTGGCTCCACACGGCAGATGCGCCATTTGCTGCGCAGAAGATGAAGTTCAACACGTTTCGCAATTTGGTGATGTGAACATGCAGATTACTTGATAGCCCAAATCCAGCGACATGCCCAAAGCAACAAGATGACGACCCGGCCCCACCCAGCGATGACCACGCCCTCCAAGCGCTTGGGCCCCATGCGATACAAGCTGCATGCGCCAAATCCAGAAGCACCGCAAGAGGAACATTGTCTTGTCGCCCCACAGAGCCTACAGCACCACCCTCACCCCCGCCCCCTTGCAGGCCCACTGCAGAAGAGAGCTCAGAAACAACCAATGTTTCAAAGCAGCCGCGGCCTCACCCTCGAGCACCCTCGTACAAAGTTGCTCACGCCCCCCCCGTGGGTCGCGTCCCCCCCCCCCCGAGCCTCAATCAGATGGACACGGAGGGCACCACCCCCTGGCTTGTGAGCCCGCCCCTCTGCTTGGGCGGCGGGCTGGGGATGAGCACGGTGTAGGGCAGGCCGCCCGGCCTGGCGGCCCTCGCGGCGTTGCGCTCCGCAATGGCCGTCTCGACCCGCGACTTGACGTCTGCCACGTACTCGTTCTGGAGCGCGACTGCCTTCTTGTCCTGGGCAGCAGCAGCGGCGGCGACGCATCCGACAAAGGGGCGGGTTAGAGCGGGCAGCTGGCATGCCGCATGACGAGGCTTTCCACTGCCAGGGTGCCGTCAAGCAGTCTAGATGCACGGCCGCCAAGCTGTTGCCACTCTGACCTGGCAAACACGCCTCTTCCAAAGTGATCCCCTCTGGGCTGCAGGCATTTGAGGCTCGACGCCGTTCCCAAGGGCACGTGCCCCATCAGGTACATAGGTGCAGATGTGCGACCGCACCGTGAGCCAACCGGACAGGGCTGGGGGGTCTGTGATGTAGAGCTCCTCGTTGGAGTGCGTGGACAGCAGCAGCAGCGCCGCCATGACGCTCAGGGTCGCCTGCAACGAGAGAGTGTGTGTGTGTGTGTGTGTGTGTGTGTGTGTGTGTGTGTGTGTGTGTGTGTGTGTGTGTGTGTGTGTGTGTGTGTGCGCGCGCGTGCGTGCGTGCGCGCGCACGTGTGCATTCGTGCATGGTTGCTGTCTAATACTGCCTGCCTGCATGGGCGGCGTGCCGAGGTGTAACCCCTTCCATCCCCCTTGAGCACGGCTTTTGATACAGCGGCACCTCCTCCAAGATGGACAGGTGCCGCTGCCTCTAGAGGCGCTTTGGCACTCGATTGAAAGGAAGTCATTCTCAGGCTGCGGATGCCACCCCTCAGTCTGCCTTGATGGCGCCCCCACCGCAGGCGCAGGGACCCAAGACGGGGCATCAAGGCATGCGTGGTGATGTGCAGGGTTGCGCATTACCCAATGCACACCTCCTTGTTCGACAGGTAAGAGAGCAGCAGCTTCTCAAACTCCTTGCTGTCGACCTTCAGAAACGTGAGCCTCTGGGGAGGTAGGGGCGCGCAGTAGCAAGCCGAGCAGTGTAGGGGGATGGATTCAAGGCCCTGTTTGTGACGGCGCCCAGATGACGCGCGCAACGGCATGTGATGGATGCCGCAGAGCACGAAGTCCCTCTGACGGCTGGGATGGGGCGCTGAGCCCACACAAGCGAGCTGCAGCAGCGCAAGGAGCGTGCGTGCGGTCCCTGACGGCCCCGCGGCACCACGCCCTCTGCGATTATTAGGATTGGTGAGGCAGGCGCACGCCTGGGTATCACACTCCATTATTCAGCCCTTGTAAAACGGGTGCGCGCGACGGGCGCTCGCGCCCAGCGCAGTCGCCCACCTCGTAATCACCGCTGCCCGGGATCGGCATGGGCTTGGCGATCAGCGACGGCCTGTTGGGCATGTACCCTGGAGAAATTGCGGTGAGAAAGGTTCAGGAGCGTCACGTCACCAAGAGTGCAGCATCATGAAGCATTCGAACGCGGCGCCCATGGGTGTGAGGGATAGGACTGACCTCCAAGGCCCTGCTGCCTCGGCTTGAGAGTCGCAGCAGCCAAGCTGGCATTGCTCAAAGCGCCAACCCCAACCGTGATTGACATAAGCATCGTGTGCCAGCGCTGTCGCGCAAAGCTGGAAAGATAGCGTGAAGGACACGCACCTGAGTAGTCGTACTGGTCAAAGTTGACCGCCGAGTGCGACATCGGGATCCAGGCCAGCGTGGTCAGCACGAACACCAGGTCTTGCTTGGTGTTGAGGTCGGGCCAGCCCTCCTTTATATCGGGGTGCCCCTTCTGCCTGACGTCCTCCCACCAGCCCTGAAGGGACGAGGGGGAGCGGCGTCGCGCACAATGGGCGCCGGTGCGTGCGCAACAGGCGCCGTGCGCGGGCTGTGGCGAAGCAACCTAATGCAGCGCAGCCATGACCAATCAGCGCGGGGGGGCAACGGGGCAGAGGACGGGCGGCAGGAAACGCGGAGGGGCAAGACTGCCGCAAAGCAAGGGGCTGCCGTGTAGCATTTTGCTTTGTCGGCCCACTGCTGTGCTTGCTGCGTCCGCCTTTCGCACAAAATAGGTACAGGAGTGAGTGTTGCATGCGCGCTGCAGTCGCAATACCCATGTCCAAAGCACCCCAAGCCGAATACCCACGCACTGGCCAATCCCCCCTTTCCCTTGAGCACACAGCGCATCCACAAACACCCAAAGCCCTTTCTGCACATTCCACCCATACAACCCCACCTGGAGCTCCGAGTCACCCGCCACATCAGCGTCACTCGTATAGTACAGGCTGACGTACTTCTCGTGGAACTTCTCGGCCGACTCCCACAGCAGGAGGCCGTCCTCGCCGTAGGGGTAGTTGCCAACCACCAGCTCCCCCTTGCTGTCCAGCAGGTTCCTGTGTGGTGACGGATATGCGCACAGCAAGGTCCAACCAAAAACAAATTAACATCGCGTCAATGGACGTGGCCTGGGGTACCATGCTGCTTGAAGCATTTGCCGGAAGCAGGTTGCAGCTGCACGACCAGGTGTGCACACAAGGGCAGTTCCGCATTCGCCAAGACAGCAGGTGCCCTTGAAAGTCGCAGGCACGCGCTCGTGCAAGCGCAGGCACATTACAACGGTGGCGCCCGGCGATCCCAGCTGCTAGCTTGTGCAACCACCAGAATCGGGGCGTCGGGCGGGCCGCCGCGCCCCGCGTGCGCCCACCGGCTGCGGAGGTTCTCCGGAAGGGCCTGCTTGTCGAAGCGCCAGTCCGCGTACAGCTTGGATGATATCTCGAGGGAGAACCTGCGTTGTTGAAAATGCAGGGGTGGCGGGTTCTTTCGGGTGCTTGTGAAAGGGCAGGAAGCAGAGAGGCCTAGGGGGCAGGCCCTGGCCGTCGCGGGAGCTGTAGCGACACAGGCAGGCCAGGCGGCCAGCACGTCCACGCCCACCCCAGCCAGCTCGTCGCCCGCCCTCAAAGGCGGCGGCAGCGCGTGCGCGGTCTCAAAGTGCTGCACTGCTGGCGCCAGCCGCCCCCTTCCATGCATGCGGGTTGTGGCCACAGCGCCCCCGGTGGCAGGCGCTCACTTTCCCGGGCTGAAGGCCGACTCGATAACGCCGTCAAATTGGATGAGCAGCGCCCTTGCCAGGGAGTTGATGGTGAGGGTGTACCTGTAGTGGGGCACCACCAGCCGGTGAATCTGCGCGGTCGCGTCAGCGGTACGCGCAGGCAGGGATGGGGGCGTTGAGGAAGCGTGTGAACGTGTGCAAGCGGGCGGTGTGGGGCACTTTGACGGCAGCGTTGGCCCCATCGATGCAGGCCCGGGCTCTTGCGCACATGCAGGGCGTTAGACGGGGCAAGGGGGGGTGCGCGATGCAAGATTCGCGGGTGGTGCGTGGTGAGGAGGAGTTTAGACCGCACTTTGAGCAAAAAATGGGGTGAGTTGACAACGTTGGCGCTGGTAGGCCAAGCATATTCATCCGGCGGCTGGGGCGGGGGTTTCGCGCAGAGCGCACCGGGTGCATCTCCGACAGCTGGCGGCGCGCGGCGATCAGGAAGGGCTCCGACGCGGCGTGGGTGTTGAGGAAGTGCGTGATGAGCTGGTGGATTCCCGAGTCTGGGGCGGGGAAGGGGGGGATGACGGAAAGGGGCCACCCAGAGTGGATGCGCCGCGCGGACAGTGGGGCCGCTGCTGAGGACCTCTAAACCGCAAGTGCCATAAAGGCTGGAGTGGCTGATGCCACCAGTGGCATTCGACGGCGCTGCCACGCCCAATTCAGGCTGTGGTGGCGGCAAGGAGCCCTTGGCCGCGCCCCCACCGGCCCTGCGCCTGAAACATGACCTGTACAGCTGGACACGAACTTGATGGTGGCACCGGGCAGGACAGCGGCTGCGCGGCCGCCAGCGCAGTGCTGGCGGCACCGTGCACGCGCTTGTAAATGCCTATGATTCTTGCCCTGTGCACGCACCTATGGAGCTGAATACGGTTTTGGCCAGCAGCCATAGAGCCTCCCCTGACTTTGGGGTGTACGCAATAAACAGCTCATCAGGGTCAGACTTGAGCTCGATGGCAACAGGCAGCAGGTCACCCGCGTCACTGCGAGTGCAAGTGAGTGTTTCAGCAGTGGTCAGGCGCGACAGTTGCGCGTGCGTGCATGGTCATGTGTAAAGGTGAGTGAATGCAGGCAGACGGCGCCACCAGCGGTGCCGCCGCATGGTTGCAGCAATGGTTCAACACAGGTCAAAGGAAGGCGGCTCTGGATTTGCTTTGCCATGTTCAGCGGACGAGCCGCGCTTGAGGCAGCTAGTCAAAGGCGGCGCGCGAGCACGTAGACGCACCTGAGGTGCAGCAGCACGCGGCCGGCGTGCAGCGCGCGGTCCTGGTATGTGTCCCGCACGCGCGCCAGGTAGGGCAGCAGGGCGTCGGGGGCGTAGTCCACATAGAAGAGCCTGGGCTGGCCGGGGCCGGTGGTGAGCTCTTCCAGGGACTTGCCCTCGAGCTGGCCTGCGGGTGACGTGCCAGTGACGTCATCGATGTGAGAAAGAGAGAGGGAGTGTGCGTGTGTGTGTGTGTGTGTGTGTGTGTGTGTGTGTGTGTGTGTGTGTGTGTGTGTGTGTGTGTGTCTGTGTGTGTGTGTGTGTGCGTGCAAGTATGTGAGCGTGTGTGTGAACCTGGAAGGGGTGCGCCATACTGCCAAAGAGCCGGTGGCGGCCGCGGCGCTACGAGAGCCGCCGCCGTCTCAACGGCCGCCCTCGCCCGCGGAGATCGTGCAGTCCCTGAAGCACGAACAACCGGAGGAGGGTCATGCGCGACCCCTGCACGTTGCGCGGGACGCAGCCCGCAGGCGCAAATGTCATCAATCACCTTATGGCCACCAGCCGGAACGCCGCCAGCTTGAGGACCTTCCTGCAGAAGTCCCCCATCACCGCGCGCGCTGCCGGGT